CCCATCCCTCCCTCAACCGTATCTAAGCCCATCAATCAGGACACAAAACGAACTAAAAAACAAAACAGCAAACACACTCGCACACACACACGAGAGAGAGAGCGGTGACTGAGAGGGAGATGCGAAATGGAATCTCAAAGTCAGTCGTTTCTTTTTTTTGTTTTTTTGCTTTTTTGGCAAACAAACAAATCGATTGACGTAGGCCTCCTTCTGTTCACCCTTTCCCTTTGCTTAATCAATGTGTGGCAAGCAGTGCAACTGCTGCCAGGGGCAAGGGAAGCGGTGCCACACGAGCGAGCGAAATGTCAAATGCGTTGATTGGAAAGCCGCCAGCGCGACTAAAAACCCCAACAAAATCGCGGCCTGACCTGACCCGCTGGCTCGCTGGCTCGCTGGCTCTCGCTTGTAATGTGAATGAGATTTGTAGAAAATCGCAAGAGGCCAAGCCCCGAAATAGTGTGAGAGGGGAGGAGTGGGCACCCTGCCAGACCGCACAATCAGTTTCCGTTTCCGGTTGCTGGCCGCACAATTAAGCGCGTCGGTGGCGGCCATTTTGTTGCTGGACAGGGCAGCGGTGGGCCCACGGGTCAGGGCTAATAAACAAGCGAAACAAACGCGCCGAGCGGTGAGAGGTGTGGCCCACTGTGCGGTTGTTTTTTCGGATACCCCTTTAGGGAAAGGGCTGGGGGTTCGCGTTCGCAGAAAGAAAGTGTCACCGTCAGTGGGGACAAAGGCAAAATCTCCCAAAGCAAACGATCTCTTAGCTTCATATGTTGCCAGATGGAAAGAATTAATGCCAATGAAAGTACCTTGACTTTGCCACCAAAAAGGGTACTTGCACCTTCGAGCCGCTGCCAGAAAGCGTCGGACTCCACCCACCGTACCGTTGTGCCGTTATTCCTTTGTTGTTTTCGCATTGCTGCTGTTTTATCATACTTTGGTTTCGGCCATTCGCTTGTCGTTTGCTCGTCGTTTGGTCCTTGGGTCGCTTCATTAACTGTGCAAAATATATATACCTACACACACACACACACACACAGACACACACACAGACATACATATGCAAACATTGAAAGTATTTTGTACATATTTATGTGGAGAAGAGAGGGGAGAGGCAAGAGGAGCGGTCTGGCTGGCTGGCGTTGTCGCTGTCGCTCACTTCACACCTTTATTTGTGCAAGAGCTTTTGTTTGGTTGGAGCGCGGGGAGTGGGGCAGCTGGCGAATGCGTTTTCTGTACGGTTTTATTTCGTTTCGGTTTTGGTTTTCGGGTTTTACTCGCAGTTGAAGAGTATAAGACCGCGCGTATAAGCACAACAGCAACAGCCAACAAACAGCCACAACAGTGAGAATCGGAATAAACATGCATATGTGTGTACTACATGTACCTACACATCCTTGTGCGATGGAATGTTGCATGGCTGTTGTTTAGCTTGGGCTTGGCGACGGGCTTGGGTGGTTTTTTTTGGAAGGAGTTTGCCTGGCCGGCCGGCTGGCTAACCCATTGTGCCAATTTATGGCATGTCAGAAATTTCACTGCACAACAACCAGGACAAACACACACACACACACACACTACCCAAGCCAAGCCAAGCCACGCCCACTGTAACCTTTAAGTGCAGTCAAACGAGAGCCGCCCCAAAAAGCAGGCAACACTTTTGTCCACAGCACACGGCGCTGGAAAGTAGGCAATGGGAGGGGCTGGGGTCTTGATGTAATGCATTTATGAATGACAGGAGGGAGAGGGTGGGCAGAAAAGGTTATTGCCAGGCATGACCTTAGCTCAAGTTGACCTTTTCGCTTAACTTAAAGTTAACCTAATGCCCATAGCTAAACTTCTAAGCCCAAAGCACCTAAAGAAGTCGCACACCAGCCAGCTTTAGGCCAGGAACTTCAGCCCTGTCTTTGGACATTTATTTGTTATGAATCATAGAAGGATTTAATCATTATCCTTTCCTTGGTCTGCAAAACTAAAAGCAACTTAACGCCTCAACTAATCAATTCCCTTGCCCGTTTCCACACCGCCCGTTTTCAGCTCAACCCTTATCGTGTGCCGTCGCCACATAACACAAAATAACAATCATCCTTTTACTCGCATTATACCAGCACTAAAACTGCTGTTTCCTCTCTCGTTCAAATGATCCATTATATCCCATAGCAGCTGTTGCCGCCTGCCCCCTGTCTGCTCTGCTTCTCCTCTGGATCATCCTTCCGCTGACATCCATCCAACGGGGACATAATCAGTATTAACTCTGGCCTTCCTGGCTGTCTGTCTGCCTGTCTGCCTTTGACTGAATTGGAGGGGACTGGGACTGGGACTGGGACTGGATTTGGGTTTGGGTTTAGGACTGCTGCCTGAATGCCTCTGCTGCTTACGACCCAATTCATGTTTATTGCAGTTTATATAAAATTTGAAACACGCCCATTATCCAGCATAGCATCAGGTACCCGCCCCGCCCCCTCCCAACGTGTCTCTGCTAACCTGCAGGTGTTGGATATTTTCGAAATATTTGTACTTCCTCGAGTTTTCGTTCGTTTTTTTGTTGTTGTTGTGTGTGTGAAGCGCAGATTTAATATTTCCGCACTATTGTCGGGGCACACGCCCCCACTCCGACTGGTAGGTGTTGCCATGACAGTGTCAGGCAGCGGTGGGGAGGCTGAGGGGGAGCACACATGTCACATGTCCAGGCCACGCCTTGATGCAATAAAAAGAAAATAAACAGCACAGAGACTGATACGTCCCCCATGCAGACAGACGGACAGACAGACAGACAGACAGACAGACAGACATGATGGCAAAGAATGCTTTTCATATGAAAGGTGTTTGAAGCCCTGCCCCTGCAGCCCTACCCCCCTACAGTCCTACATCCTTGCTGGTTCAATGACGCTTTTTGACGCTTTTTGACTTTTTGGCATTGTCGTTGTGTGGCCTGTGTTGACGGTTTTTATATTTATATGGAAGGTTCTTACACCCAGCGACCCCCCCCCTGCATGGCTGCATTTGTCTCTTTCTTTTCTGTTGTCCACCATCTCTTTCGCTCTCTCTCTCTCTCTCTCCCGCTGGCTCCTTTTTTTTTAATGTGGATTTTGATGTCTGTGCAAACGCAACGAGGCACACAATGACCGAAAAGCAACTGACAGCCACAGCCGTGCTCCGTGCTCCGTGCCCCGTGCCCCTTTGTAGAGCCAACCCCGCCGTAGCCCTGCCCTCTCTTTGCCCCTCATTCATTCATTCGTTCATTCATTCAGTCAATCATGCAGCCATTCAATTTATCGTTGACTTAACTTTTTGATGGTTTGCAAAATGAAATTTATGTGCTCCCCCCACACCAACACCAACAAAAATAGCAGCAACTCTCTCACCTGTGCTCTGTGGCTGTGCCTGAGTCTGTGTCTGTGTCTGTGTCTGCTGCTCTGTCTTTTTCGGGGGCATCCATCAAATGTCGGGAGTGTCCTCTGGACCTCTGCCTGGTCAGAGCTCGAGTCCGAGCCAGAGCCAGAGCCAGAGCCCTAGCCATTGAGTGTTATCTTTGCGGTCGCATCTATAATGGGTTTTGTCACGTTGCAGACGAGTCTGCACACACACCCCTACCTCCCCCATCTGCGCCTTTGCGTCGACATCAATAAACTTGCAACAATAACAAAAAATACACACACACACACACACACACACACATCCACCCTATACGTGTGTAGATATGAAAAGGGGAAGCTGTTGCGTGATGGAGGGTGCTGGGCCCAGCTGGATATAGTAGTGCTGCTTGAATGTTTCACGGGGTTATTCCAAATACATTTGGACCTTTGGACCTGCCTTTAAGCTGCTTTTAAAACTCAGCTCTGCCCCTCAGCTGAGGCTTAAAATTCCATCCAGCCACCAGAGGTTTTTGCTTAATAACTTTGGCACCCAATGTGTGCCCAGTCCTCCTTCCACGGTCTGTTTTTTGGGGGGTAGGACAAAGAGAGAGAGAGGGAGTGGGCGAGCGACAAGTGCATCAAATTGTCAGACATTTTCCGGTGTTGACTTTGACCGAACCCCAAAAAACATAATTGCTAAAGTCCAGCCAGAGTCAAGCCCAGTGGCAGAGGCAGAGGCAGAGGCAGAGGCAATATTGCGGTCAACAGTTGGGGGGTGAAGAGCAGGAGATATGTACAAAGAAGGAGGGGGAGGGGTGCGGGATGTGTCCGGGAGAGCACCCAATAAAAGTACATGCATGCAACAATAAATAAATTAGAACAAGGTGCGGTACGACAGAGCCAACCCGAACCCAAAACCAACTCCTCCCCCCAACACTGAGAAGAAGAAATGCGTTGAAACCGGCTTCCTTTTGCTTAAAGCTTATGGCAGTTTCTCTCAGTGCTGCGATATACAACGAGGCTCACTTAATAACGGGTTAGGCAGGTGGTGGTGGTGTGTGGTGTGTGGTGTGTGGGTGGTTTAAGGGTGGCCCATAGATGGGGCTACGGGGCTACCGTTTTGTTGTCTGCTGCTGCTCCGGCAGTCAGATGCAATTTATTGATAATATGCGAGAAAGAACAGGAAGCAGGAGCAGAGTGGAGGGTGCGCCAGCAGGCAGGAAGGCTGGTGCAGAGTATACCAACTGGAAGTCAGCGCCAACTTTATGAGAATGCGACCTTTCTGCCATTATGTTGGTTGTTTACACACACACACACACACACACACACACACACAGTACGCCCATGGCCACATGGACACAGATGTCGAGGCAACAATTTGTGCAACAAATTTCGCAAGCAGACAATATTCCTTTGCCAAAGCAGCTAAAAGTCAATTGCTAGACTTGACCCAAGGCCCCACAGATCGTAGAACTTGTTGAACTACTCAAAACTAAGATCGGAAACAAGAGCAGAATTATGCATTTGGGGATCTATAGAAGGAGTGCATCATTATCAGCATTGCTTTAAAATTGTAGTTTAGAAATAGATTGCCAAAGATTTGCTCGACTAATTATTATTATTTGCATTGTTTTGTTTCGCTTGCAGGAATACAATTCAAAGACTGCCGCATGCCATGCCATCCACTATTACCACCAACCCAGCAACAACGGCAACAACAACGGCAACGGCAACAGCAACAACAACAGCATTAGCAGCAGCAGCAGCAGAAGCAGAAGCAGCGGCCAACATCAGCATCAGCAGTTGACATCGTCAGCATCAACGTCATCGTCCACTTCATCATTGCAGCGAGCCGGTAGTCGCTATGCTCTACACAAAGATCACAAATATCCTTTCGAGCTGGTCGAAAACGAAGACGATGATACTAGGCAGGAGGCGGAGGATGAGGGTGGCCAGGAGCTAGTTGAATATCAGAGATATGCCAGGAAGCAAAAGCAACGTTACTACGGTCACACTGTCGGCCAGAGGAGTCGTCGACGCTACTACAAATACGATGCCGTCGAGGAGTGTTGCCGCCCGATATTCCAGGACCAGCAGTGCGACTCCCTCACAGAAATGTTGTAAGGGAGTGGGGTGGTGGTGCTGACAAAACTGGAGTGAATGATTTGAATGAATGGAACGCAAGGTACCTACAAAACAAGAGTAACTACAGAATGGAATGAAGAGGAATGAGGAATGGAATCAACGCAATGCGTACAGAAAAGTAAAGTGAAGACAGAAGAACAACCCCCCGTCACCACGATTGCATGCAGCTTACGATAAGCGATAATAATGATAACCGATTACGATTACGTTTACGATTACGATTACGATAACGATGTTGTATGTTGAATAGATGTATATCGATGTTTTTTTCCTGGATGTGTGGGGCTAGAGATAGGGCTGATGAACATTTTAAATCTTTAATCGTTACTAAGCACAGAATTGATCAATATATATATTCAAAATATATGTATTATTAACCCTCTGGCAAATCTGGCACCGCTATAAATGTATCTACATAGATTATATATGCATATACCATACACACACACACACACACACACACATAACTATATTTATTCGTGTATATACAAAATATATAAATATAAATCAATATTTAAAGCCAATTTTTTTTGTATCGCATCCCAACTAGAAATACGAGAAGAGCGAATGAGGATAGCATTTTTTTTTTTGAAATGAATGTGGAAACTAGATCTAGAAGATTGCACCACAAAAAGTTGTCTAAAAACATGATCAGAATTAAGCGTATATATATAAGAGTATATATAAACCATACCCATACAGAAAAATATTCATTTAACTATACATACACATGTACACATACGAATGTGTGTACGAATCCATTTATTTGTTTTTTTTTACATTATTATTTATACACTAGCAATGCTTGTACATAGAGTAAAAATTGTGGATTATAAACTATGATAATATTACAATTAATAAAACAGAAGAATATTTAATAACAGGTGTTTTTTTGTGGTACTTTTAAGATCTGAGTGTTGAAAGAATTGTAAATACATTTGACACATAAACAATTTAATTGATGCACAAGAAAACTAAACAAATCTAAAGTCAAACAAAGAAAACGTTAGGAAGAAATGAACAAATATTTGTCATTAAAGACATTTGATTCGAGTACGAGAAAGGCAGAAAATACATAAGAAAGTAAAACAAGATAAATTATAAGAGAATGCAAAATATACGTGTGTCATTTATGTGAATGTAGTTAAAAAAGAAATAGATAACAAACAGACCGAAGATGAAAGGCAAAGCAGAAACCGTAAACAAAATATAACATTTGGCGTTGGATGTTGTTCCACTTACTTATTGAAAAATGTGTCTTAAGCAAATGCATACATGCAGTACATATAAATAGACACACCTTGGTATATGTGTGTGTGTGTGTCAATGTATATACACATAAACACTCCAATAGAAAGGCCTACCTACCTACCTATCTACCTACGTATATCTACCTATTTTGTGTACGCCGGAACTAATTATTTTTCAAGCTAACTTTCTTTCCACCACTCGCTGCTTCGTCAGCATTTTTTGCGAGTGCAGTCTGTGCACTCGCCGGTTGCGTGCCCACTCGTTTGTGACTGTGAGACGGTCACACTCGTTGGGATTTTGCGCCAATTTAGAGCCAGGCTTGGGCTGTCTCCTCTCTCTGCCACACCTTTCACTGCCACTGTATCTATCTTATTTCAAGAATTACAATAGGAATGTAGTAGAAGCCAGTACAGACTAAGAATAAATGATAAAGCAAATGTTTATGTGAATTTATAGCAAAATGGGGATCCTATGGAGCCCAATATTGAAACGGTGGAGATCCACTCGCCAGAACGACACAGTCACACACAAAAAGACACATACATATGCATATAGATGGAAACTACAATTTTAAAATTCCAAACTGCACTTTGCAGAGTTTTAAATGTCTAACTAAATATTGAACCAGAAAATAAAAGAACACAAAACGAAAAACCTAAATGAATGAAAATGAAAGAACTACGTAAGAGATATGATCGTAAAATATTGGATAACTCGTAAAAGTAATGCAAATGTTTTAGCACAAAAAGAACAGAATATATATGTATGTGAAATCAAGAAGAAAATAGATAAAGAAAAATGATAGAGACAAGGATAATGGGAAGGGTTCTTCGGGTCTCTCCCAACATCTGTCTCCAGATATTTGCTTTGCTTGCATCACACCCCAACTATTCCCCCAGAATATGCTTTGCCAACGTCCTCTTTGGTTAAGAAATTTTCGTTTTCCTGCTTTACAAAAAAAGCTTAAAATGTGATATTTTATAAAAACTATGAGAACATTTTCGTCGTATAAACAAAGGAACGAACGCATCGACGCGTCTCCCTGATGAAAAGAAAAACATGAAAACTATGGAGAAATCTATGGAAAACCGAACCGAAAAAACACATGGAGAACACACACATTTAGAAAGAGAAAAACGTGAATAGAAAGAGAGTATAAAGTAGAGGAAAAGTTTACACTTTATTCTGATGATTATTATTATTAATATTATTATGAATTATTATATTAATTTAAGCGAAAACTGTAAGTAACGTTATGCCTATTACGAATAATTACGATGGAAGACCCCCGAAACGGAAAACGTTTTAAATCTGCGAATAATTGAAACGGAATGAACGGAAATGAATTCCAAGAAAAACAAACAAGTAAAACCGAAAACACACACAAAAATATTAAATAAAGATTTAATGCAACACACAAAAAAAAAAGAAACGAACTTTGTTTTCCTTTGAATTTGCGATCCACAATGTGGATGCTAGCCTCGCTGGCCTGTTGTGGAATGGGGTCCAACATGCTGCAGCTCGAACATGTGGACATCGAGCCGTTTGGTATTGCCCATCTCGATGTGTGTTGCGTTGCCAACATACAACAACTACATGGCCATGTTCTTCAGCTACATTTGGAATTTTTCCACTGCGCTGCAACAGACGCAACTGTCAAAGCTGGGTGCTATGAAACTGCTGAAGCTAGCTGCAATGCAACTTTCTTATTTGTTTCATACTTTTCGGCGGGCTCTGGTTCAAAAAATGCATATCTAAACGAAGCCTTCTTTCAGCTACCAAATGAGAATAAAACTGATTCAAGTATGCAGCATGCTGCTGTTCCTTCTCAGTGTCATTCTCGTCTTCCGTATTGGAAATGGGCTCTGTAGCTGCACTGGCTGCCGGATCTCCGGTGGTCAAGGAGGAGATAGCTGAGCGCTTAGCTGCACTGTCAACCCGTTTGCAGCTGGGGATGCTCCTGGAGCGGAAATCTTAATTTATGCAGCGTCCAAACCGGCAACATCTTTGCGGTATTCGGTGGACTCCAATGGGGTTGGTCGATGCCATGATTACGCATGGAATAAGGCATTGGAAAACAGTGCATTGGAAAAGCATGAATATATCATTGACTAAAATGGAACTTTGCGTTAATTACCTTAATTGAGGCATTGCTCATTTTACTGGAATTTTCGTACAATTCCAAGAGCTGAATACAAGCTCACAGAAGCATCCGCCAATAGTGCGAAATTCTTTGAATATTTGAATTGAATACATTTATGATGTGGGTGTGTATGTTTTACAGACATATTTATGTACACTAATGAGCCAACAACAATAGGACATAAGAACTATGAAAAGTATTCAGCAGAGTGGAAATATTCAGCTCATTTCAAACAAAAGTGGAGCCAAGGCCTGTCCGCTATTACTTAAATATTTGCTCAAAATGGCAAATAATTGCATTGTTGGGGTCGCTATGGCCCGTTCCCCTGCATTCGTAATCGAAAAATCCAGTTGAACAATCGACTCAATCAGTTGTACAATTTTCACAATTTCGAGCGCAGAATTATTGGATATTTGTGCATCATCATTTTGCTGCTCGGCTGTGCTGCTCTTTTGCACATTTGCTTATGGCATGGCATGGCATGGCACGGCAGCCTTTGTTAGTTTTTCAATTATATTGCTGAAAATATTATGATTAAAAATTGGAACGCTTGAACGGGTTCATCTTCTCTGCTGGACTTCGTCTGCCTCTCGGTCTGCGTCCACGTCTCCCACTAGGACTCCTGCGTGGCGTTGCGTGGCGTTGCGTTGTCTTGTGTTTTGTTGCACAAGAAGACTCTTCCCGTCGGCTGCAGAGTTGCCTGCCACTGCGAAGCTCTCAGCTGGAAAATCCGCTTGGCAATTGGCTCTAGCCATGGACATCACTCAGTCGTGTCCTGGCCAAGACAGGGCCCGACTCGGGCGAGTCAGTCGCCTTATGCAACAGCTTGCACTTGGCTCCGACTCTGCGGCATTATCCCTATTACTGGCTCTGGTTTATTGTTATTATTATTGCCATTTTTTGTGTGCCACTCTACACTCTACACCATTACCATCCCCATCGCCATGCACTGGCACACTTCTTCGTCCGGAGTGCCCCTCTGGCCCCCTTTGCTGCTCCCATCCACTCGACTCCGCAGGCAGGCAAGTCGCTTACAGGCAGCTTTTGCACTCCAGCTGCTAAGTGTGCTACGGCTGTAGCCGCTGGCCCTGCAACACTTTAAAGCCGTCCATCTAATTTATACGCGTACCCCTGCTGAATGAGGGTATTATAAGCACATAAGCCTGTAGCGCACACCAGACTCTTCAGAGCAGATTGATTGTTGACTTTGAGCACGGATCCCTCAGTGCGTTGCGCCTCAAAA